CAAAAACAAAGGCAAGAGGACAACGGAGTAGTTATATAGCAGTACCAAAAGCAACATGGAAAAGCATACGAAATGCAACATCAGTCATCAGGGACAGGACTTCTCAATAACGACGAACGTTCGGCTCCCATTGGCATTAGTGGATTTATACTTGACGACTAATAATGCTAACTTCCTCTCGATATATACATCACAGGGTCACTATTTACCGGAAATTTAAAGACCTAACCTCTCCTTCTGTAATCATCAACATCTGAACGAACAAAGTGGAGGTACTTTCACTTGTCACCTAATCATCATTCGAGTTTAATTATTTAAGTATGTGCCTGCAGATTTGAAAACGATACAACTTCTCATTAAAACAAGAGAAATGTGAAAAGTCAAACATAGTTCAAACTTCAAATGTATAAGGAGAAACTAGTTTATGTTGAGTCATTAGTTTTGCTAATTGCTATTCTTAGTTTACCCTCTCTCTCTCTCTCTCTCTCTCTCTCTCTCTCTCTCCCATATATTGAAATCTAAATTTTATTCTTTCTTCAATATGGATATCACAAAACTCCCTCAAATTTACTTACCAAAATCCACCAAGTGTCCTAAAAATACTCCTTGATATTTGTGTATGCTCTACAGATTACACCATAAATAGAAATATGGGCTGCATTTCATTTGTAAAAATGAGAAAATCTCAAGGGGCTACTATTAGTTTCGAAGCAACCTTTTTTGTTTTTTATTTTTTTATTTTTTTCGTTTTTCTCAATTTGGGTCAACCGTGGGTTAGTTCCTATTTGCAATATTCCTATTTTAATACTTCCTTTTCTTCTATTTGTGTTTGAGAGAGAGAGAGAGAGAGAGAGAGTTTGAGAGAGAGAGAGAGAGTACATTAGTCTCGTTTTTCAGGCCGATGTCTTCTGGAAGGCTCAGAGCTGGAATCCAAGCCAAAACACTTGAAAAGAGCTTGTTTAGCTAGGCCAAAGTAGTTGCAAGGGTGGTTTGAAGAGCGGAAAATTCTAACGAACCCAGAGTCCTTCAAAGTGGATTCCTCTTCACTTTGATTTTCTTCCCCTATCAAACCTTCGCTAGTTTCTTCACCCCTTGGGTCCCTCTGATCTCCCACCTGACAGGGTGACAAAGCAATATAGACTCTTACTCGAGAACCGCTATAACCACCCAGAATAATTTAAATAGCAATATTGCGAGGTACAAAGTAAAATTTTGATACTCATACATAGTTGCTCACATTCACCACATGAATCTTGTTGAGTCAATAATATGGCCGAAAAAAAAAAAAATACGACCTCATACCTTCAGTTCCTGTTTAAACATGGATGGCTATAGGTTAAATAATTGAGGGAAATTCAAAACACATAAACTTCAAAAAACAACTAATAAAATAACTTAGGATAAGACCTAAATCAAGATGTAACGAAACTTCATCACCTAAAACTCTCAAGTGAAAAAAAAAAAAAAAAAAGTTGTAATAAAAAGAGAAAGTTGAGGTCATCCTTTCTCAATGATCTCATATTCACCGGTAACAAATTTTATATGCCTCAAAGTTCGAGTGGGCTCTAATCTAGCTTCTCAACAAGTCCAACAACTCTGGAACTCATGCATCCTGAACATTTAATTCCAATATATCTAGTTTCAACTAGTCGAAGAACCCCAAAACTCATACATCTTGAGCATTTAATTCCGATATACTATTGTGGGCTAACATCAACATGACATGCATTCACTAACTTGTAAGGCTAAAAAATTCTACAGTCAACGCATAGAAGGTAAAAACTGCACTTAAGGCTGTGAAACACCTTATACACATGACGCAAGTATCCAGAGTATTAATATCCTTTACTGCTAAGAAGGTTTTATAGACTGTTCACAGCAGAAAACCAGATACCGAAAATTATCAGATGAGCCCACGTAATTTTATCAATATGATCGATATTCTAATCGCCGATAAGGTTGCCTAACATTGACATTGAACCACCTGTTGCCTCAACTAGGTAACACAAGTCTTTGCAGTAGGATGAAATGAAATAGAAAGCTAATGTTGTTACCATTGTGAAAATCCAATAAATGCGAAATTTGAATATATGAACAAGAAAAGAACAAATTAACAAAGATAAATCTAACAAAAATTTTATCAAACTGAAGATTATGAGTATATTAGTCGAAACCGGCCAAAGAGGTCTCCCAATACAATCAAAATGGCTTTGGAGAAAAAAAAAACATCCGAATTCGCTCTCGATTAATGTAGCAGACTTAAAAATACTTTCAGAGCTTAAACTTATTAAATTTCAAGGAGACATAAAATTAGACCATTTTTCTGTTTCATATTCATAAGAATTTATCAAACTCATAATTGACCTAATTCTGCACATAGTGAAAGACTGTGCTATTGCATTCAACCGAAGAAAGGGGAAAAAAAAGATCTCCAAGTAAAGCAAGAGAGAGAGAGAGAGAGATAGTTTAATAAATCTACCTTGATTCTTCTGTGGGGTTTGTTAGGACGGACGGGCGGCGCGGCGGCGGCGGCGGCGGCGGCAGTTGACGGGGAAACGGCGGAGGAGGAGGAGCTGGATGCAAGGTCTGAAGTAAAGATGCCGAACCCAAGAAAGAGAAGAATAAGGAGAAGAATGGTGACAATAAGCTGGATCCATATGAGCCATGGAACTTTATAGCTTTCAATGATGAATTCATCCCCAAACTCCGGCATTGCTTTCCTGCACCTCCTATGTTTTCATGAACTTAACAGGAGAGAGAGAATTTGAAGAAGTTGAAAAAGAAGAAAGATGTCTTCAACTAGATAATGAATAATTATTATATTACAGGCTCGATTCCGAATTAATCGGTTCCCACGTGAATCCGAAAACTGGAAGGTCCTTTTACCCAAAAAAAAAAAATTATTATATTAATTTTTAATTAGGATATACACCGATGCTTGTGTCCAAGTAAATGAGTCTTTGAGATCTCCTAACAATTAAAACAATAGATGGTTTTCAATTAAAAAATAAAAATAAAAAAATGACAATATATATGCTGTTGTGAAAATTACATTACCACCCAAAAAAAATCCTATCATTCTAAAAGCTTTCAGCAGAAATGGAAAAAATAAAAATATAAAACCCTCCCTGCCCCCATTCTCAGACGTCATCCTATCATTCTAAAAGCTTTCAGCAGAAATGGAAAAAATAAAAATATAAAACCCTCCCTGCCCCCATTCTCAGACGTCATTGGTTCGCGGTTTTCCCGCTCTTCAGCCATAGGTTGGGCCGTTGGCGCCCGATTGTCCTTTACCTCAGCCGATGGGTGCAAAATGCGGATGGGTTGAAGATGACGGCTCCTCCAGAGTGACTTGTCGAGTTCGCTCTCCCGGTACCCGTTTCTCTCCCGATTGAATGTTAAAGGAGCTCAGATCTAAGTTGAGACTCATCTCTTCGCCAGATTTGACTAGGCGTTTGAGTAAGTTCACAGTTTTTTGGTTTTGGGGCCTCTTATTTGCTGCTCTCCTTTGGTTCCTCTTGCGTGCATGCGAGTTGTATGGGAAGTGGTATTCTACTGACAGTGTAGGTGTGTGTTGTAGATTATTTATTTATTTATTTTTTCATGAAGTGTTTAGTTTTGAGTCAAGCTGCATTTGATTATTAGTCTCATTCACGTAGTTATTTTGTGTCATTTATGGAGTTTATTTGTTTTTCGGGTGTTACATATCCCTTTGGTTGTATGTGTAATTCCAATGGGGGTTGATCATGACCTTATTCTTGTTCTTGTGGTGTCAATTGACATCTCTGAGTGTACTCTTTTGAGTTATTAATATAATTATCATTTGAGAAAAAATAGAGGTGCACAAAATATGGTTAATCGAGTCAAACCGACCGAGACCAAAAATTCTACATTATTACATTAAAAGGAGGTCACCAGGTTCTTTATATATATTACATTATTACATACTCCAATTTATAACTATTCGTAGTCAAATTTTTAACTGAGCATTGAAGGATTAACCACGGGACCCTTCCCGTCATATTTTGCATGTCATTGGGGCTTGAGTTGAAGGACGTTGATGAAGATCGTGAATCAAGCAATAAGAATAGTGATAACCTGCGCAGAAGACCGTCGATTAAACACGAGATTTGTGCTTGAACGCGAGTGTTTTTGAGATTTCTTATTGCTTAACTTCTTCCAAAAGAAAACTACAAGAGATAAGAAAGAAAATGGGAAAATTGCAACAAAGATCCTTACAAGAATTTTAAAGATATAAAATATGAAAATTGCAACAAAGGTGTTGTCGTATGATTCTTAACAACGATTTAAAGTTGAGTTTATGGGATAATTTCAAGTGGTTTAAACGTAAAGCATGTAAGAATTGTTCAACAATGGCCCCGGTCCGAGATGAACCGAGGTGAAAAGCCTTTATAGGCTGTTACGTGTTTCATATTCATGAATTCGGGATCCCTGTACAAATGTCATAGGCTCGCTATTTATAGTAGCTTTTTTGATAGATACATTGGGATTCGTGTATTATTTTTCGTATAAAGTAACTTTTGGTGGGCGGCTGGAGTAGTGGGCCCCACGTGAATGATGACAAACCTCGTGGATTGTGATAGGGGTGTGTAGGCGCTTTGTCACCTGCTTTAGGAGGTGACAACCTCGGTTTCAGTTGACCTCGGCAGGTGACGAACTCGGTTTAAGTTGACCTCGGTAAGTGTAGGTTACTTCGGTCTTTAGTAGCTTGGACCAGCTCATTGCGGGGACTAGCAAGGTTTTGGATCACGTCAGTTTCAATAGTTAATTTCACTTAACATGATGCTCAAAACTCCTTGATGGTGTTTTGCCGAGTCGGATGATAACAGAGAGGCCCCCAATATCGGTGGGCATACGGAGTGATGATCATCGATATTGCGAAACGCCTAGAGGCTCCGAATCGGTAAAACGTTAGCGGTTGCATTGTCTTCGGTATCCCAATGTGACTGAAGGAACCGGAGTAAGTAGCTTGTTCCGAAGTGCAGACTAAATTCCGAGGTGAAAACACTTGGTAAAATTTGAGCGATTTACGGGCGGTCGCGACAGGAGGAATGTGAACAGACGTAACGGTCGACGATTCAATGTCAGAATGAACGGTCGCGCCGTAATGGTCTTAAATGAGGTAACGGTTGGTTTTAATAGGTCGCCACGTGTAACAGTAGGCTTCTGTCAGATGGAAAGATGGCACCGATTGGAATTAGGAGTCGCGTCGGTTGGACGCGCCTTTAATTGAGATCTCTAACGGTCAGAAATTGGAGATTATAAATAGGGCTTTGCAATTTCCGATCGAACTTTCTTCACTTTTGCTTTAATTCTTGAGCTTTTGCATCCAGTAATATTGTTGTTGAAATTCCTTTGAGTGTTCGAGAGTCGTTTCCTGCGCACTGTGTGTTTGTGGATTTTTCGGTAAGTTCCTTCTTTAATTCTTCCTTTTTTTTTGCGTTCTGTGTTGTTGTGCGATGGCATCGAAGGGAAAGGGTAAGGCGGTAGCAAGTTCTTCTAGTACTGAATCGGTTCCATTGGAGGTCTATCACGACTCGGAACTAGTTGAATTAGCCTTTGAATACCACTGATGGGATCCGTCGTTAGTGAGGCATTTAGACATTAAGCTGAATGATGAGGACGGAGACCTGGTTGTAGAACATAACGCGGCCGACCTCGTGA